GGGGGGGGGGGGGGCTCTTAGTATTACTTGATATTTTTAAGAAAAAAATTTTGCAATAAAACCTCCCAAAACAAAACACAATGTATATACGCCTCTGCGGAGGAGAGTGCTAGGAAATAGTCGCAAGGCTTGGAAAGGCTAGCATTTTATCGGATTGTTTGCATGAAATCTATTGCTATTATGAAATACTCGGTGAAGAACAATATGAATTACACACAAGATGGCTGTGGAGGAGGCTATGGAAGGGGCCTAATCTCATTATCAGGTAAATCAACTGCAATTCTCACAGCAATCATGAGCAATTCTGCTTCACACTTTGGGGGCAGAAATGGCTTTACTGGGGGGGGGGAATTCTTTCCCTGGGGGGGGGCAATTGCCCCCCAGATATATAGTTAAAAAAGACACTGCTGCAAACAAGTTGTCACAAATCTGTTCACAAGCTGTCGACAAGTTGTGTTCGCACTACTTGTTCCTAGTTGTTGTAACAAATTTGGAACAAGCTGTTAACAACTTGTGACAAGCTTGATGGTATTATCAGACAAATTAAAGACATCCGCTAAAGGTGCGGAGATTATGTTGATAGATTGTTTTATGATAGACATTGGAATACCATCATAACCAACAGCTTTACCAGTTGCAAACGTATTAGCAATCTCTATAATTTCTTCTTCGTCAATTGGACTTAAAAAAATAGAATTAATAAAGGAATCATTAAGGAAGTTCATATGCGAGACTGTGGAAGGTTGTATTTTCCTAGCTAGATTTGGGCCAATGTTAGTAAAATAGTTATGCAAAATCTATTAGCAATTTCTTCTGGATCAGAAATTTCCAAATTATCAGCTTTGAACGCTGATGTCTGTATGACTTTAGCTTTTTTCTTGCATGTAATTATCGAAAGGGTGTATTACGAGGTTACGCCCCTCCCCAGTTTCTCCTCAGTTTCGGAAGAGTTGCAAAATTGGTCCTGAAAAAGGGGGGCGGGGTTTCCCCCATAGCTACGCCCCTGGGAGCTCAAAGGTAAAAGCCGTGTCCGATGCCCTACTAGTCAGACAAGCGTTTATAGTGTATATAAAGATTTATTGTAATTGTCAACGTTTCTTAATCTAATGATAAATATCAATGCCTAGCAGAATAATAGAACATAATGTCCGTAGAATAATAGAACATTTCTGGTCTTTCTGGAGTTGACCACTGTATTGATTGTGAGTGAAACCCACCAATGACTACTATTACTTACTACACTACATAATATGTACAGATTTATAAACTGCTGATTTTATGTACAGATTTATAAACTGCTGATTTGTCATACTCATACAAGTATGCATGGTAAGCTGTTAATATGAGGTTTAATCTGGCGTGGAAAAAGCAATTTCTTTTTCGTGACCACAGTAAAAGAACAAAAACGTTTTCGGTTCCAATATCCTGGCGTATGGTTAACTTAGTAAGAACGATAATATACTATCAAGCTATCGAAATAAGCTATTGAGTCGATCTGGCGTAATTTATTTACTTGACCACTTGCCCTCAAAGTTCTTGGCCTTGTTAACCTCACATCGGCACTGCAGTTTAATCCATTGTTTATCCTTTCTTCACTTACTTTCACTTATTGTTTTATCTGTTTCATTGTGGGACCAAATGGGCCCCTGATCCGATACCTTGTCCACCCGACGTAGGTTTAGTGTACCGCCATCTGCTGTCTCAATGAATACCGTTATTACATGCAGTTACATGCAGTGTTATGTACAAATTTCACAGATCTGACAAATTTATAATACTGAATTCTCGTACGAATTTGTCAAGTTAGGTGACCTTTCTCCAGCTGAAATTCCTCTTGGCGTTGTTGATAAGCTGTTCTCTACATGGCCATTAATATTAAATGCCTTATTGTCACCAGAACCCCAATGGCAAGCTGCAAATGTCTTACGAAAAACCTCCTTATACTCAGTGCGAAACGCGGGACTGTATATCCCATACAGAAAGGGGTTAACACACGAATTTAGAAAGGTGATCATCACGCAGGTTATATTAATTTCACCATTAGCGTCGAGGTGACCAAACTTGGTCAACATAAAGGTGATTCGACCAGGCAGCCATCCAATGATAAGAGCAGAGCAGGCCAGAAGTGCCACCACCGTAATTCGTTTGAGCTGCACGTCTCGGTTGGAGGAAAGGCGTGGTAGCCTCTTCATGGTGTAGTAAATGTGGCAATATAAAACCACCATTGATGTGAATGGTATTAGAGACTGCAGTGTGAAGTCCATCCAGGGTAGCTCTTTGTTTGCAACGGGCAGTGTCGTCCACACACAGCGTTTCTCCTCACGGATATACTTTGCTCGAAACAGGATGGTAGCGTTCACAGCCGGACCCCAAAACCAAACAAAGATAAGAGCGTATACGGCGTGCTTTGATTTTACAGAGTTGTACGTAGTTGGGCGTAGAACTGCTAACCAACGTTCGATAGTCAACGCCAGACAGGTGTATATGGAAATATAACCCAGGACGAATGCCACCCAAGCTGACCAAATCGTACGACAGAATAATTCACCAGCCGCTTCGGAATACGTCGGAGTTGGAGGAAGGTAGAGAAAACGACTGAAAATATTTAAAAATTGTGAATAGCGGAAAGGTTCCGTCACACGAAGCGACAAGTTGCAGTGACAGGATTTTTAAGTTTTCTTCAGTGGTGGGACAAAACTGCCAAAGGACCCATTTTCCTTGCCCTCCCCCCAGGTTAGTATGCGAGCAGCGAAGGTGTGAGCCGAGTGCCGCAGTCACCAGTTTATAGCTAGGGGGGGGGGGGGGTCTGCGGGCATGCCCCCAAGAAATTTTTAAAATTTGGGTCTCTGAAATAGCATTTCCTGCATTCTGACAACACATTTAAAAAAAAATCTCAGCTTCTCAGAACAAAGTTTTAATAGTGAAATTTGTAATAAATTGCTCGCTAAACATTCAAACACAACATAAGTTTAAGTACGCTCACCAACAAATTTTGTATTTAAGCAGTATCCTATACTAATTACTAAGATATCACTGTACATATATTTTAGTAACATGTGTGATTTTAGTAAATTTTACACTACATTGCCCTGGCTGTGGCGCAATAGGCCATTTTTTCTTCAGTGGTGGGGCAGAGGAAGGGCCCCAGTGGGGCAATTGCCCCACCTGTCCATGGTATTAAAATATGCCTTGGGAATTTGGGGATTTTTCCCTCTGGAAAGGTCACACGGAGTGGTATTTTCAGGCGACCACTGCATGGTCAAGGGGACTTCCCACAACAAAATTTTCACATACACACGTAAAAACGCACAACTTGTAAGAAGTCTGCAGTAGACTTGTACCAATACCGTTTCAACAACTAATTGTTATCTGGATGTGTTCCCACTGCTTGTTCCCAGCTGGTTGACAAGTTGTTAACGTCTTGTTGACAACTTGCTATACAAGGTTGTTCACTCAGCCAACAGACTTTCCACAAGTTGTTCCAACAACTTTTTATCGTCCTGCAGTCCAACAACTTATATAACAAGTTGTGAGTGACAACCTTGTGGCAACTTGATAAAATGACAACATTCAAGCTTGCTACATGCCCGTTGCGAACAGATCTTGTTGACTATCAAATAAAGTATTTGAAACAAGACAAGATCTGAGATCTTACGTATGTATGTCACACGATGAAATTTGCCTCCAAGTCAAGTTTACGCGATCAGTCCATAGATTCATGTCTCGCTGTTATGACCTAAAGTCCTGGGCAAACTAGGAAACATTGTTGCGGAAACGTTTGTGATTCTCGATGTTTCCTCAAATGTTTCCATGTTTGCCCACCGGTGTAAACATTGTTGCGGAAACAAAATTTGCTTCCCGGGAAGCAAAAATGATTCCTATCAACTTCAGAAACATTTGATGTTACCCTATGTTTCTCACTAATGTTTCCTAGTGTTTGCCCACTCTGGGAAACATGGCGAAACATTGGTAGGAAACAATGTTTCCGCAACAATGTTTCCTAGTTTGCCCTGGGCTTTAGGGTTATCGGAAATTAGGGTCACGGTAAGGTTAGGATCAGCATTCAAAAACAGCATGCAGCATGCATGCATGACTAAATTGTCACCTCGTGTGACTGAAGCTTCAAGGCTTTAAATATTTCATGATTAGCACTAAAAATTATGGAATGATATTAAAAAAGCTAAAATAACGAGTGAAAGGTTGGCGAGGAGAATAGCAGGACTCTCAAAACAATGAAAAAAACAGTGGAACACCTTGGTGAAATTGTTGTACTGGTGGACGATAAAATTTCAAAACCCATTCGCAGGCTAAAACCCATAGAGAGGCCTGCGGAGGAGGCTACGGCCTACGGGGACATGCAAAGAAACAACCTTAAATTTTACACTTCAAAAATCATGAACGACCGATATTAGGAACCTTATAAGCAGGAAGAACGCAAATGCAGCGACGACGGCAATTATAGTATGATGACAATCACATTGAAATGATTAATTAAAATCTCATGAAACTCAGTATTAGATATGTCGTCCTACGAAACGGCTACATTTCAAGCTGTGACAACTTTTATTTCAAATTGGATCTTAGAACTCTTCTCAACCATAAACCTTTCTCTTAACCTCGATCCTTAAACCCTATTAATTTCATACGCTGATATATTATAGTCAACATATAGACGACAGGTTTTCCTTAAAAAACATTTAGATCAACAAGTTTGCTTGCTGCCGTGGTAGCGTTGTCGTCCTATTTGCTCAAGCTCGCTAATATTAATTTACCAGAAAATGTTATAAGATACATACAGGCTGTAACATATAAACAGTAGCCCATATC